TTAAATGTCACATATTGGCTTGCCTTTTCAACACGAGCTAACTAATCGCTCTCTATGTCCCAATCCTTCCTTTTTTTAAATTCTTTATGTAGAAAAGTATCGATAATGAAGCTATACATTTTTTCTCAATCGACTTCCTCTTTCAGTATCTTATAAGCGAATAAAAAAAAACTATGTCTTAATTTATAATCTCCCTTTTTTTCTGTTTCTAAAAATGCACGCGAGACAGACATTCGCAAGCAAACGCTCACACTTCATTAACGCGATAATCGGCTAAACTGTCTCTGATGATTGTGTTAAAAATAGAAATTACAATCTGCATTAATGCAAGAAGTATATAAGTTGCGTAACGTACCGTTTTATAAAGTCATGATTCGCGGCGAATATAATAATAAATGTTTGCAAAACATACATAAAAAGAGGAAGAAAAAAGATAAATGTAGAAGCTGCTTATTAATCACAGATGCAAAACATCAAGTAAATGAAAACAAAGCTTCACATCTTCGCACGTTTGATGATGATTTTAATTTGATATCGCTTCAAGTATATCTCTCATATCTGGGATATCCTGCACATTAAGAAGCATTCAAAGTGAAAGGTGACTTCGCTAGGTCTCGGGACAATACAAACGCTCGTGCTCACAGATGGTTCAAGTAAGCAATCGCGAATAATTGTTGTATGCCAACGGGTATATAAATAGTGCGAAGGCGCGAGTTGATCCGCTTCGATCAATTATTTCACCGTGACTGAAAACCACTCCAAATTAAGAAAGTGTCATCTCATGCTCAAATAAACTGCAATTAAACCACCTTTATGCATCGGCTCCCAAGTATGTATTTCACGCACCGCGCGTTGTGCTGCTTGCAAAGAAAGACTTTCCGCCGGCTTATTCGCCGAGCACGGCCATCGTTCGTGTGATACAACAAGTATCGCAGGAGAGCTTAACGAATACATTTCATGTATTGCAGACGAGACGAGGTCTACACCTGAAACATTCGAAGCTCTTTAATGCGTGATGCGTTAGTTGAACCATCGGATGGGAACCGGAATGCGTGAGAGTCCGATCTTATCTTGGTAATAATTTTTAAAAAGTTTTACATAAAACTGCCACTTAAACGTATCGATATGTCTTTCGCGGCTTAAACATTCCTCGATTACCATAAAGTGTCCCCTCATGAGAATATCCTCGGATTTACATTAAACACGTGACATTTACTGTCGCAGAAAATATTCGGAGATAGCGTGCGATGCGAAAGAAATGGAAGTTTCCTGCATGGAGTATGTGCCGATCCCGGGTACATACTTTATCGGTCTTATTGTTGAGAAACTTTAAGACTGATCCGCGTACTTCATACTTTTCAGATTAGATTACACATGTGTATATATAATGTTCCTCCGCAGAGTATATTTTTCTGCATTACTTTTCGAACCATCCGTACGCGCGTGCGTATCTGCTTAGACATGTGTACGCACGTATACATGTATGTGACGTACACGCGCGAACGTGCAGTTCTTTTTACATTTGTTTACATTTCTCTGATTCATTGATGTAAAGAGCGTGTGAAGATCCCCATAATCTTTCACTTTCTTTGTTCAAGAAACAATCTGTATCACTTTAAAACTAGAGAATTACATTTTGCTTGATGCAATGAGAAACGCAATTATCTCTCTAATGTAGGTGCACGAATAGCTTTTCTCATAATTGTATTATATATTATAATTATATATTATTTTCAAGACAGCTAGTGATTCCAAAATCACTTAATCCAGAATGGATTATGCAGATTAGCATGTGTTACGATAATATGTAAGATCAACCGATCAGAGTCTTTTATTTTACAAAAAAGAAGGAAATGGATGAAGGCTGGATGGAAATGAAACTTTAATGCTCATTTCCATAGATATAGATTAAAGATTTATTTTTTTTCCATCCCAAGTACTAAACTGATGTACTCTGGTGCAATAAGTTAAAGTGAGAGACAGCTATAGTTTGTTTCACTCTAACTTATTATACTAGTTGAGAACTACTTCGGAATTCTTCGAAAAAGAACAAACCTTATCTTTAATCTCGGTTCAACTTGCTCTTTATCTTTTTCTAAAGATTAGAAAAAAATGAAGACTGAAGTTGAGTCGAGATTAAAGTTAATCTACAATGATGGAAACTAGCATAAGTTTGGTAACGATTTGTTTTCTTATGCGTTATGCAAGACTCTATGCTCTTGGCCTTTGTAATAAGACACAAAAGGCTTTTAGTCCACACATAGGATGCTTTTCATTCAGTGACATAAATCATCAGAAGTGTCGTTCTAGCTTTCAAAGAAAATAGAACGTTTGGGTCGACTTGAGTTACAAAATGGAAAGCACTCATAAATAAAATTGTAATAATTATACATATGAAATGATTACGTAACAATGATCGATTAATGTGGGGAGAATGATGATTCGAGATTGTATCCACACACGCCCTTTACCTTGCAACAAATGTTTATACTAATAGCAAGCCTCGAGATAGGCACATTGTGCAAAACAGTTAATTAGCAAGAAAGTTTTTCAAGATATATATGGCAAACCTGATGAGAAGGGCCAACCCGAATCTCGCCCTGGGTGCCAGCAGACATCTCCCCCTCCTCCGAAGCTCCTCCGTCTTTCTCCAGCGTTTTGAATGGCTTTGATCTTGGATTTTCAGTAAATGCCTATCATCCACCCCCTGAACCGTATAGTTATGCCATCAATATGATTGAAAGACGATATGGCAAAAACATATACTGCTAACATGCTCGCCTCGGTATCTTTGTAAAAGATAAGAAAACTACATGTATGCATTGGCGCCTTATTTACAGAGATAATGTAATGGAACTCTTGATAATTTTTTACTTTAGCCTTAGTGTAAACCTAGCGTATTTGCATACTACTGATTTGCTGGTATCAAATGAAAACATACGGAAAGCGATTGTTGTTTCAAAACTGTCACGTTCAATATCTAGGAATCTATTGTACGTGATGAATATCCTCGAGTCAGGTATCGATAAAATTCCAGTATAAATTACAAACATTAGTTAAGTACACAAGTTACAGATATGCTCGAAATGAAATAAAAATTTCCTGATGCAAAGCACAAATGCAAGATATCTACCCCAATCGATTCCTCTTAAGGTCTACAAACTGAAATAAATAACAAGAAATAAATCGCGACAGATATATCTCTAGATCACTAATATATAAAGTAATTTACAAAAATAGAAGATCAGTCTGTATAATCTGTTATATAATATATAATTCAATTATATGTACATTACACAGAATTATTTTATACATATTGAATTATATAATATATAATTCAAAGAATTTTACTACCTACACGTCTCACATTATGTTTCTCTCTCTCTTTCTCTTTCTCTCTCTCTCTTTCTCTCACACACTGACACGCGCACACACATGCTCTTTCTTTCTCTCTCCTTCGTGGTCTTGAGTCACGGTGAAAGCGGCAAACAGGCTAATTAACAAGCGCGCAAGCTCGAACGCCTTCGACGAGGAGGACGATCGCGACGGTCAAAGTCGTGATTCTCGATCGCGGATTTCGAATTTCTCGCGGCGGAAGTGTGAAAAATTCTTCACGAATGCGTCGCGTGAACGAGCGAACGCGCGCGCGCGCGCGCGCGCACGCTCGCGATTATTGTCACGCGCGATCGAGATCGGATCGACTCAACGCGATTGTCGCGTCGCGTCCACACGTATACACACGGCGCGGTGACCCCAGGTGGCCCCGCAGGAGATCCTCTGAGTTGACTCCGCGAACTCACCCCTGCTGTCGTCCCCGCACTCCGGCGGCAGCCTCCCTCAGCGATGTGCACGCGTCATCGTTCCCCCGAGGACGATCGCGCCTCGCACCTCACGCGCTCCGTGTGATGATTGCAGGGCGACCAACGCGCGCGCGAGCGCGGTCGGACGAGTGCGGAGGGCTGGTGCGACTCCACGCGAGGAAAGGCCCCACTTAATGGAGGCGATGACGACGACGACGACAATAATGACGGCGACGACTGCCGCGATTCTTTACGTACCTGCCCAAGTTCAGTATCCACAACACCCGAACGCGACGGCCATAATGCGACGCACGGTAGCGACGCGACTAGCCGTACTCGAGAACCATTACCGATTCCGCCCGCGACTTTGAAATTTAAATTTCGACGATCTCGAAAAGCATATTGTCCTTGTTCTACTTATTATTATCTCGCTTTGCATCCATTCGATCGTTTATAAAGCTCATTTGAGATATCTTTGATCTTTATTTAAGGTCTTATATAAAGTTCTTCGGATGAATTTAGTGTCGAAATTATTGCTGCGTTGACTAATGTGTCGACCAATGAAATGCGCGGCGTAGGACATCAAATTGGAAATTGTTACAGCTACGTTCGGTTTGTTCGCTTATGCGCATTAAGCGTTTAAGGTGCGTCCACGTGACAGTCGAATTTTGAAAAACCGAGGTATGTTTGATTTGAATTTTCAGCGCGTCTATGGCACGTCTATGCTTTGTCACTCACAGCTTGCGAGTATCAATTGTCCTTGTTTAATATTTACTAACAAGGATGAAATGACGTTTAAAGCGTTATGAACGTCAAAACGAACATGGCCTATTTATTTTATGTATTTTGGTTTTATGTTTCCTTTGAGCGTCTAAATTGTTCAAATCGAACGAAGTTGGAATCTCGGAGAAGTAATATAATGGAGATTGATCAGAATAATTTAAGTTTAGCGCGTTTGTATGAAAGTACATTTTCACGAGTTGCTCAATGTTTTCACCTGCTATTAACGACAATCAAGTATCACGATCAAAATTGAATATTTTGCTTGATATTCACCAATTTTGGCCACGTAATCCTTTTTATCACTAGAACGGTTATTGGTTTGAATTGAAAATGTACCTTAATGCGCTCATCAATCATGGCTCATCCTCATGAAAATTTTTTACATCATGAAACATAGTTGGTCGGATCAATACGTGTGGTTGTTGTTACGTTGAACCACAATTTGAACAGACTTCCCCAAATACAACTTTTCTCGACTTCTCTCTCTCTCAAATCCATCATCTTTACCCGAATAAAATAGAAGTTTAACGTTATTCCGTAGAATACGCATATACGTAATGGCAAATATAAAGAACGAAGTAAAAACCGCATTGGTGTTGCTCGCCGATGGAACGGAGGAAATGGAGGCTGTGATAACTATCGACGTCTTACGGCGCGCCGGAGTACGTCACCTAGAACGATCGATTCCTTGGCAGAAAATAAACAACTCATGTGCATGATTATTTCTCCTTATTTTTTTATTGTTCTGAAGGGGCATTCCACGTTATATTTCATCGCTTGATAGTTATCGGTATTTTTTTTTATGACGCTCCAAAATGATCAATTATCTTCTGTCTCATAATACTCTCTAGTCTTCGCAAGAATTAAATTACAAGATGTATTATATACAATGAATGCTTTTTATTTAGTGATGTAAATTGAAACATTCTATCTTTTTCGGCATTTTAGTGATTAACAGAAAATAGAACGACACTTTTGCTGATTTGTGTCATCATTGGAAGTACCCAAATTAGAAGTACCCAATATACATACACATATATGTATGTATACATATATGTACATATACATTGCTCATTTGTTATAACACATTTTAGAAAAACAAATTTTTTTTCCAAAAAATGAATTTAAATTTTTAAATATTTTGAATCACTAAAATTTTTTAATATTAATTTTAAAATATAATTTTAGTATAATAACTGTTAATTGCAAAGAAATTTTTTCTTTTTTTTTTATATTTCCATTTTTTTGAAAACAACTATAAAATTATATGATAATTTTCGAATAATGTATAGAAAATGAGCGAGATATGTATATTAGGTGTAGTAAAAAAAAATCCATTATTTTTACTACACCTAATATTATATTATATAATATTTATTTATGTAATTTTTAATCAATTTTTTAATAAGAAATTGTGTGTTTTGTTTGGTGATTATTTTTGAATTTTATAAGTATTGCTTGTGATAATAAGAGCTTCTTGATGATTGTATGTCATATTTAATTATATATCAATTTACAACTATTAAAGAAACTATACAAAAGATACTATTTATTAACTAAATGAATTAACGTACTCAAATAACTATATTGAAATAAGATAAATAGTAATAACTTGCTCGTTATTGAAACTCAATGTCAACAATATTAATATTTGGCCAAAGACGAGCGAAAAAATTAAGGTATTCTATATATTCTAAATGAAAAAAAAAATAAGATGTTCTATATTGAAATATATTTGGATAGATCACAGTTACAGCAGCTGGTGTACAGGACAGCAATTGCGTGAAATGCAGCCGCGACGTCAAGATCTGCACAGAATCTCTATTTAAGGATGTTCAAGAAAAGAGTTACGACGTTGTTGTTTTGCCTGGTGGTCTCGGTGGAGCTAAGACGTTTACATCTGTAAGTTTGTTTTACAGTGTCTGAGTTTGTTATGATGATAGCTAATAAAATTTGTTTTGTTAGTCGGAGGAGGTTGGGAGATTGTTACAAAAGCAGGACAAGGAGAACAAATTAATAGCAGCTATCTGTGCAGCTCCTACAGCTTTAAAAGCGCATAACATTGGCAAAGGAAAACGAATTACCTCTTACCCAAGTATGAAAAGAGATCTGTGTGACTACTATGACTATCAGGATGATAAGAACGTGGTGATTGATGGTAATAATTGATTTATCATATATTTATTGATATTAATTATTTCCAAATCAATTAATAATCTTTAAGAATTTGATTTCTATATTTTATTTCCATTAATACTGATATTAATATTTCAATAATTTTACAGGCAATCTCATAACTAGCCGAGGACCGGGAACGGCTTTTGACTTCGGACTAACTATTGTTGAGATATTAATAAATCTTAAAGAAGCCACGGATGTCGCGAATAAGTTACTATATAAATACGAAAGCTGTATAAACGCTGTGTAAATTTCTTCAGACATTTTGTAGTTATGGCTATAAAGTGTTGATGTGTAAGTTTTTCCAGCAATGAAAGACACAGTGTTACTGTGTCGCACTATATACAGTCATACACTGTGCAACACAGTATTGACTGAAACGTTGCTTAGCTTTTTTATTTCACCACCACAGTGAAATAAAAAAAAAGATCTCCTATATCTATATCCGAGTATAATCTTAAAACCTCTTATTGGAGTATCACTTTTAGAAAAACAACTAATAAAATAAGTAATAAAAATTTGGAGTTCGTGAAATGATATAAAATGGTACAGTCGAACACAATATTTTAATAGCGTACGTTCGTGTCGATTTGTATCACAATTGGAAAATACGTGATCGTACATGTGTCGCCTATGTTCATTGCTGGAAAACAAAAATATTTATAAATATGCTCTAAACGCACACATACAATTTAAAAATGTAGTTGTTACACACATTTAACAAGAAATTATATGTAATATATGTAATATATACAGATATGTATGGAATTGAATATATGTACTATATAATGTACTAAAGCAAAACAGCAAAAACTCTTTTAATTATATTTGAAAGATAGTTAAATGCGTTTTAATTTAAGTGATACAAGAGGTGCTAAAGACTCATGCTATTTTTAATTTACAAGTCTTTAATGCGAGATCCATATAGCATGAAATATTAATGTAAATCATCTTTTGAAATATTTCGCAAACATATTTATAAAACATTAAAAAATATTACATTAAAACATTTCACAAAAATATTTTAGAACTATTAAATATTATAAGAAAAAAAAAGTATTTCAAATTAAAGCTCTAATTTCTTGAACATAATTATATTTCATAGAAATACTTCAAAAAATTTCTGAAAGATTTCAAATTATGCAATGAAATATTTTATAAATATTTCATTTGCATTTGTGTGTGAGGGAGAGGGAGAGAGAGAGAGAGAGAGAGAATGAGGGCAGGAAGTGCGGCCATATCGAGCGGGAAGTCCAACGATTCCGCCATCGACTACTCTCAACAAAACTATGTCCATATACTCCATATCCATCCGTATCCCCGTCCCTTCGATGCGACGCGCTGGATACTGGCAATTCAGACGGGCGCATAAATTAACGCAGTTACGATGCGAAATGATTAGTGCGTGCCGAGAGGCGCGTCAGTGATGCCCGGTTTAGAGGGAAGTATTTCGCACGATACGAGTCCACCTCCCACGCGCGCCCTAATGTCCGGTGGGGATCGTGCGGTGCCCGAGCAAGTGGTGAAAAGGTTCGTATTCAGATCACGAAAGACGCAGGACTGCGCACAAGACGACGAGCACGAGGAGAGTCTGGAGATCCTCATACCTGAGGTAAGGAGACAACTTCGCGCGCGAGTTCCTCGCACGCCCGCAGTATTTCCGGCACGCGCGAGCTACCGGTATTACGTGCTTTTTGGTTAGATTGCTCCACGAAAAATCATTTCGTTGACCTACAATTATTTCTGGGAAATTTTCACGAAATTTTTTCGTTTACCTTTTTGTTCCGTTCAATTCATTTTTTTTTCTTTTTCAAAACTGTCAGTTTGCAATTTTTTCGTTAATTTTTCACGAATCTATAATGAGCGTCAACATTACTATTCCAACACGCTGGCTGATTATTAAACCATTAATATGTGAGGGTGCAATTTATTATTACTTGTAATATATATATATATATATATAATTTTGTATTTTCTTAGTGATTGTTATTTTTATGCTGTTATAAGATCTGAGTTTTTCAAAATGACTGTTACATAACTTGGGCTTCAGATAGCAGATAGATTTCAGCAATTTCAATCTTTAGAATAAAGTCTTTAAAGGTTTTCAGTGAATACTCTGGATACTTCAGATATCAATAGATTACTAACATTAATGATTTTTTTTTTTTGAGTGGTTGAGGTCTTTGGAGTTGAGGTCTTTGGACGAGAAGTAGATATCTTCTGCCCTACATTGTTTAAATAGAGTAGTTATACACTGACTTAAACTAGTAAATAATTCTAATTTTTCTGATAAAATTAAAAATAATCCTTAACGTAAACCAATCTTAGTCTTAATAAACTCATACACATTAATTTAAGACACCTCTCAGTTCTAACACTATTTTTTCATCATCATATTTCCTACATGCCTAATGACATGTTCAAGACTTCATATCTGCAGTCACAATACTCGACATAATTCTTTTTCACAAGTGAGATATCTAAATTAAAACGATTCATTTTAATTCCATTAATGAAGGAAATAAAATATCATTCTGCATTAATTTTATAGAACCACAGCTTAATCTTTTCTATATCATATAAAAATTCTTAAAGTATATTCTTGAAGTACTTCGTGTATAGCATCGGTGATTACTGATTTCAGTTGCTGCAGGCTAATTATAGTTTCAATACTTGGCCCTGCGCGCCTGTGCTTGCCTGGTATCTCTGGGAGCACAGAGAAAACTTGATTGGCAAGCGGGTTCTGGAGATAGGAGCCGGTACTTCGCTCCCTGGTATTCTCGCCAGCAAGTGCGGTGCGATTGTGACCTTGAGCGACTCGGCGAGTCAACCAAGAACTCTGCAGCACATCAAGAGGTGTTGTGAGTTGAACGGGGTCGCAGATCAAGTCCAAATCGTCGGCATCACCTGGGGCTTATTCTTGTCCAACTTGTTCTCGCTTGGACATTTGGATTTAATCATCGGTTCGGACTGTTTCTACGAGCCTACCGTGTTCGAGGACATAGTGGTCATTGTGGCGTTTTTGTTGGAGCAAAATCCCTGTGCGAAATTTCTCTGCACTTATCAGGAACGCAGTGCCGATTGGTCTATAGAGCATCTGCTGAATAAGTGGGGACTGACGTGTATACATATAGCACTGGACAATCTCAGTACAAATCCTGATATTAACTTACACGAATTGATGCAAGATCATACGATACATTTATTAGATATACAACGAGCAGTATAAGCAAATCAATCTCTTTTTCTTACCATGAGCGCCGGGAAATACGTAATTAATATTACCAACATTCCTTGGACAGTGGGGCGTCACGAGCTCTGGCTGTATTTCTCCCAATTCGGTTGTGTAAGAAATACTTTTGTAGCGTTCGATAAGCTAACTGGTCTCCATCAGGGTTATGGAGATGTAACGTTCTTAAAGAAGAAATGCATGAATGCCGCGCTCGAATGTAAGCATTCTTTAGAAGGGAAAGATTTAGTCGTATACAAGAAAGAAAATAAAATTGATTAGTTACTTTATACTTTTAATTGAAAATATATCGCGCGAATTCGATAACGATGGCTGAGAGCGATTTAGAAAGCGAGCCCTTAACTGATCTAGAGGAGACATTTAACAGAGCTAGCAAATATCTGCAAACGTTGGTGTCGGAATTAGATTCAGGTCAGCTGCTTGCATTTTATGGTTTGTATAAACAAGCTACTGTAGGACCATGCGACATCCCGCGGCCCAATTGGTATCAGATGCAAGCCAAGCACAAGTGGGAAGCATGGAAGAATCTTGGGGATATGAGCCGCGAGACTGCGATGACAAATTACATCCACGGAATCGAGAAAATAAACCCGACGTGGGACGAGGAGGAGGCAAAAGCCGGGTCTCAACAATGGATTGTTTTTAGTAAGCTGTCATATGGAAACGCGGAATTGAATGACGAAGATAAGACGTTCTTAGATTGGATCAAGGAGGGCAATGAGGCAAAGGTGCGAGAATTTTTAAGTGGCGAACCCGCGCTCGTCAACAAGCCAGACGAGGAGGGAATGCATCCCATACATTGGGCTGCGGATCGCGGCTATCTTGGAATCTTGGATTACTTGATTAAGAATGGCGCGAATATAAACTCGCGGGATCAGTACGGGCAAACAGCCCTTCACTACGTGGTAAGTTGCGATCACGTAGATGCGGTGAAGTACTTGCTTTCGATCGGAGCTCAGTCAAATATAGCGGATAACGATGGTATGACACCCAAAGAAATTGCGAACGAGCAGATCGCAGCTCTTTTATAATACTAACACTATGCTGTACACAAGCACACTGCGTTTACAATTGTTAATTCTGTTTGCATATATTAATAAATCCAGTATACTGATAATTTCACATGGAAATCATAAAAAGTGTATTGTCTTATATTACATTAATCCGCTCCATTCTAATAGAGTAAATCTTTATTTATGTACAAATAAACTCCTCTAATAGTCCATTACATTCACAGCCTAAGCACACCTTAGGTAAATGCGTGATTTGTCATTAGCTAGATTTTTATAATTCGCTCACTGTTTAATTAATATTACGAGCGATAATTGCAAAATAAGCACACAGAAAATTTGTAGAGAATGCAAGGTTTGTTATTATCGATAGCAACAATAAAACAAAAATCTAAAAAATGACAAAAAACAATGTCAATTCTTGTAATTATATAATTTAGAAGTTTCTCGTCAATATGGCTTACTGGTAAACTCTTATTTCTTACGTTTCCATAAAATATAATCATTGTTAACGTATTATATCTATCTTTTAATCAATAATACTGCATTTGCTTTTTTTAACGAATAACTATACATATTTTATCGTGTCCATTTTAATTGTAAAACAAAAATTTTATTGATTCATTGCACGAAATTTTAAACAAAAACTTTTTAACAAATATACATATTCCGAATTATTCTCGAATCTTTAATTTATTTTGTAATATGGAGATATATATTAATCTATATATATGTAATGATTGTTAACCACATGCTAATTTCTTACATTTGACAAATCTAGCATTCTCAATGAAACACAATACAACAAACTCGAGATCTTTTTCCCACATAATATAAAGTAAATTTTACTCAAAACTCCAAAAAATGGAGTAACTATCGACGCTGCTCAATTAAAATGCTGAGAATTAAAAATTTACGTATAATAATTTTTTAAAAAATGTCAAATTAAAATTTGATCTATTAATATTATATAAAAACACATAATTATGATATAATTATATGAGAATGATTGACAAATCTCTTGATATATATATATATCTTGATATATGACAAATTTCTTAGATATATATATATATATATATACACATATATATGTACGACATATGTATATACATATGCAATCTTTCGGTCTTATTCTGATAACTCAGGATCACGAGTTTATTGCATGGAAATATACCGTGATTTAAACATGTAAAAATTAATATTTAACTATATTAAAAGTCGAATCTTAGGTATTAACAGTAATTCAGAGTCGAATGTCAAAAGTCATCAAATATAAAGCAAGATACGTTCATTTCGGCATTTTGTAACGATTAACAAACAAGCTTCACTAATAAATATCACCCGTTGATTCAATTCCAACATATTGATCATGTCGGTCATTTCGTACATTAATTCGTTTTTCAA